GATGCAGCCCAGGACATGGTTGGCTTTCTGGGCTGCCAGCGCACATTGCTGGTTCATGTTGAGCTTCTCATCAACCAACACCCCCAAGACCTTCTCCTCAGGGCTGCTCTCCATCCATTCTCCACCCAGCCTGTACTTGTGCTTGGGAATAATTTCATCACGCTGAGTTGTGGGCACAGGAAAATGCCTGGGACTCCTGTAACATAGCTAGCAGCGAACATCCACTTGGGTACATCCCTGGCTGTTTTGGGATGGGGCTGCTATCCCTCTGCTACCCCCTGCTCTCCCTCAGAGACCACCAGCCCTGCCTACTCCTGGGCCCCAGGATGTCCTCGCTCCAGGGAACTGAGATGTGACGTGCAAACGGGGAGGAGGTCTACCAGCCAGGTCCTCCTTGGCAACGAGGCACCGACTCCCTCCCCACCCCCCGTCCCTCCCAGAATCCACAACCTGCTGAGTAGGGCTTAGGGGCCGCAACCTGTCCCCACTGCCACTTACCCGGTGGCCGCTGCCATGACACAGCCACCTTGCTCTGGGGTGGCCTCCACGCAGCAGCCCGTGCTATCGTGGCTCATGCCAAAATTGTGGCCGATTTCGTGGGCCATAGTGGCGGCTGCTCCGATGGGCTGCTCCGAGTGGTCCTGTGTAGGGATGGGGGATACATCAGCACAGCAGCCAGGAACCATGGAGAAGGGTGGACCCCCAGCAGGGAGTGGGGCTGGGGTGATGGAGGGACTACAACATCCCTGGGATTGCAACTGGATCCCACGGGAGGGGCAGAGAGAGGGATGGAGGATGATTCATGGCAGAAGTGGGCTTCAGTCTCCTAAAAGTCCCACACGGGACTGTTGGGAAGCTCTCTGGCTGGAACCAACTGCTGAAAACCTGGGGCCTTGGAAGGCACATCCCAAAAACCAGGAACCTCGGTGCCCCACACCACCACCACCACCCTGCTTAGGGACCACAGGTCACCAGGGCCACCATCACCCGGATAAGAATTACATGGGGTGGAGATG